TAGCAAGAGACTGAAGTCTCGCTGGGCTTGATGAAGCATGAAAACTTATTTCTGTAAAGTATATGCTTTGCTGAAGCCCTGGTGGCAGAGGTTCTGCTGGTGAGCTCCGTGGGACTCGGGAAGTGAGCATTAGCCCAAGTGCAGAGGCGAGTCTGGGGCAGAGAAAGAAGCTCTGGGCTGTTCATCTTTGGATGCCAATAGTCATTGAAAGCACATTGGGAAAGCATGTTTTTAATAAGCACATTTCTTTTTTTCTTATTGCAAATCTATTTTCCTTTCACGAGTTTTATTAAGAGACAAACCACAGTTAAGATGTGAGCAGCAAAGTTTAATAAGGTGCTTATGAGGAAGTGTGAGTGGTTATCCGCGTTTTCAGCCACCATTTACTTAACGCTTTTTTTATGTCAGGCTCTGGCTAGGTCCTGGAGGCACAGGCTGGTCCCAAATTCTAGTCTCTATCTCCAGAGCTTCACAGTGTTGTGTCATGTTTCCCAGCCATCAGCATAAGCCCCATAAAAATCGGAAATTACTGAAGTCCGGGCTGTATCTCGGACCCACAGAATCTTCTGCAGTGGAATTAGGTGTGTGCATTTTTCCAAAATTGCATGTGTCACTTTTTGGTTTATATGAACCTCAAGAGACTGATGAAAAAAGCTTCCCTATTTTATAGATGAGGAAGTTGAGGCTTAGAGAGGTTAAATGATAAGTGAGGTCACATAGTGCAAGTGCAAAGTTGGCGCTCGGACCCAGAACTGCTGAATTTAAACTCTCAGGGCTTTTCCACTCGGCCATGACCACCCTCACAGATACGCATGGGTGGAACTCTGTGCAAGCCTGTGCTGGTAAAAGAATCTGAAGAGGAAGGTAAAAATGCACGAAACCCTGGCCTACCACAGCAGAGGCTCAAAAAGTATCAGCAAGTCCTACCCAAGTCTCAGGTACTTGTATTTAAAGTGGGTTGAACCCCATATATGTTACATCCTGGCTCACCATGGATTTCTCCCAAGGCAGATCATGCAGCTTCTGCTGCACGAGCACCCCATGGTTAGTTTCTATCACAGAACCCCAGTCCTGGGCTCCAGAAGCACTGGCTCTTCTATTTGTCCCTCCAGCCTGGGAGGGATAGTGGCTTCCTGCTTTTGCTATCTCTAGGTTACCTTGTTTGATGTTTCGGCTTCTTTATCACCTGTATAACCAACGCCCTGCATTACATTCCCTCCTTATTCCAGGTTAGACCTTGACTGTTAACAGAGACGGAAAAACCAAGGTACAGAGAAATTAAGTAACCAAGACAGTGCAGCACAATAATTCTTGACAGAGTTAGTATTCTAAATCAAAAGTTTCTGATTCCAGAGCTTAAGCTTTTAATCACTAACTTATCGTTTAGATGGTTAGTGAAATTCTTGGTGCCCAATGCCAGGTGGCGATGGTGATAGCGATACTGTGACAACAACCGTGATGATGATGACGATATGGCCCTGCTGTTGCTGCTCTGCTGGTGGTCTTTGTGTTTACCGTGTCTGACCACTGTCGCATGTCCTTTGGAAGAGGTGTGCAGATACAATGTCCTGGTTGTCACACAGATGTCTCTGCATTACAGGCCTTCACCTACCACCACATCCAAGAAATTATGGCCCAGCTGCTTCGCACAGTGAACCGGACAGTCATCACGATGGGGCGCGAGCACGTTCTCATTGTGAGTAGACCTCCTCCTCTGGTCGGACCTTTCAGGCTATTCAGGGTCGGGGAGTGGGTTTCTGGAGCATCCGGTCATTGGAACAGCAAGCGCCGATCACTGCTTCGTTTTGGGGGACAAGGGCCAAATTTTTTCTATCTGAGTTGGGAGAACACGAGAGTTAACTCGAGTGCTGAAATTAAACATAACTCAGGACTTGTCTCCCAAGTCGAGTGTACCGGTGGGGGTGGAATATCGCTGATAAAGATGGAGAGGTGAGAGAAGCTCTTTGTAAATGGGCAGGCAGAGTGCTTCACATTCATGTCCACCATATTTGAATTATTTTTTTATTGATTGATATTTGAATTATTTCCAATTATTTCTTCTGGCCTGGAGTCAAACAGTGCCCAGTGTTAGGGTCCCATACACTTGGTTTTCTAAGTGGCTTCGTTGTATGTTAACTTTTACCATAGACGTCGCTTAATTCAAGGTCACTGCTATGTTTTGGGTTATTCTTCTACGCAAATACTATATTCTGAATACCAGGAGACTCCTGCCCCATGGTCTGATTACTGTCCTCCTCCAGTCACATGGCCCATCTCTAACGCTTTAACCTTTGTCCATCTTGCTTTAAAACAAGGGCCCCAAACTCTAATGCTCAGAGAAGCTAGTCACCAAAATAACGGAGTATGTCCCACCGTGTCCCTCTTCTGCTCAAACTCACCAGCGGTTCCCTATCTCACTCAGAATAAAGTCTCGACTGTTGCTAGGGCCTGAAATGCCCGTGCCCCTTGCTTATTCCTTTACCTGTTACTCCCATGTATAAAACATGATTTTATTTGTCATGTCCTTGGCTTGGCCTGTCTCTCCCTCAGATGAGGGCTTGTTCCCTCATGTTAATCAGATTTGGGCTCAGTGTCATCTAACCAGAGGGGCTTCCCCAGCCCTAGCACACTGTCTACAATACCTGGCACCTCTCCATTCTCTCTCAGTCTCCATACCTCACTTCTTCATATGTCTCTCAGTACTTATCACCACCTGAGATACTTAGTCATTTAGTCATTGCCTGGCGGTCCTTGTGAGAATATGAGCTCCAGAATATGAGGAATTTTGTCATCGTCCCTTTGTATCTCCAGTCCCTACAACAGTGCCTGGCATGTAATGGGTGCTTGATCAATACTTGTTGAATGAATGAGCGAATGAATGAAGTATAAAAGGCAGGGATCCTAGTGTTTAAAGAGGACAAGTGCTACTCAGCTCTGATGACGCCATGTGTGATTGGACCATTTAGCTGCCGAAACTCCCAACTTCTCAAGAGAAGCTGAAAACCCACATATTTTATGTGAAATTTCCTGGTAATTAAGTGCCGGCAGGTAATTAAAAGGTGGATGCTGACTGTTGATGCACTATAGTCCTGTCTCATGAGCACGGAAGTCAGGTGCTGAGTGTTACTCTAACAGCAGCTGGGCACAGACTTGATCCCTGGAAGCAACAAAGTAACAATCTTCTTTACACCCCTTTGGTTTTGCCTGTGCATGTCAACACAGCGCGCGTGTGCTTAACCTGTATCAGTGCATATTTAAAGGAGTGATGACATCAGAGCGAGTACCTGTGATGCCCATCCTTCTGGGGCAGAGAGCCACGTGAATTGGTCTCTGTCATTTGTCTCACTTACCATCCTACCACCTTATTTCTTATTCAATTACAAGCTTCCATATCTGTGGTTCCCATAACAAACCTTAGGTAATCATTTTATGAATTCTCTAATCTTTATTCCTTCTCTATGGAGCCAGACCTAAAGGTGATCATCAATCCATTTGGTTCATTCCGTGTAGAGCAGGCTCTTAATTTGCTGCCTCTCCTTTGGAAGTGACTCATTAAAACAAGTGTCTGGATCATAGAAAGCACCAAATAACTGGATCTCTTATGATTTTCCTTTCTATCCAGCACAATACGTTTCTCTGTCCCTTTGCATTATCGACAAAGGCAGTTGGCGACAGTTTGGGCCTCATTCACTACAGCCAATTCTCTGAGTCTTATAATTTGATGCTCTGCCCTGGTTGCTCGCCCTTCCAACACACTCCTCACTGCTACCCTGTTAATCTTTGCCAGGACACTCCCCTACTCCAGAGTGTTCAGTGGCTCCCCGCCGTCCATCAAATTAAGTCGTAAATGCATTAGCCTGCTCGTTTTCCACTTCTCTCATCTGATCACAACCAATTTTTTTCCTTTTCACTTACTTTTCTCCATCCAAATATTTAGCCAAAATGGATGTCTGGATATTGCCCAAATATGCCCGACACGTTCTCATTTCCATGCTGCTTTCTTTGTCTGAAATTCCTTCGTGTGCCATCTCAGTCTGTTGAAATCCTACCTAGTCTTCAAAGTCCAGCACAAATGTGTTCCCGAATCTCACCAAGCTGGCTGGAAATCTCACCCCAACACACACCTTCTAAATCACACAGCTCGTTCTGATTTTTTTTTTTTTAAGTTTTTGGAAGTATCATTTACATACTTTAAAATTTAACAGTGAGTTTTAGTAAATGTATGTGCTTGTACAACCATCACTGTAATTCAATTCAGAGCACTTCCTTCACCCCCCAAGTTCATTTGCAGTCACTCTCTGTCTCACTTCAACCCCCCACCCCCAGCCCTAAGCAACCACCAATCTACTTTCCAGCTCTATAGATTGGTCTTTTCTGGAAATTCCACAACTTGAGCTCTTTGGTGTCTGACTTTTTCCTTAGCATAATATTTTGTGATTCATTCATATTTTAGGATATATAAGTACTTAATTCCTTTTTATTGCTGAATAGTATTACATTGCAGGAATATAACACATTATGTTTACCCATTCACTAGTTGATAGATATTTGAATTATTTCCAACTTTTGGCTATTATAAATAATGGTGCTATGAACATTCACACACACATTTGGTATGAGCATATTTTAATTTCTCTTGGGTAGAAACGTAGGCGTGGAATTGCGGGGGCGTGTGGAAAGTATGTATGTGTAGCTTTGTAAGAAACTGCCCAACTATTTTTGCTGTGGCTGTACCATTTGCATTCCGACCAGCAACGTGTGAGCATTCTAGTTTATCTGCATCCTCACAAACACTTAGTATTGTCAGTCCTTTGGATTATAACAATTCTAATGATATCTCATCGTGGTTTTAATTGCCTTTCCCTGATGGCTAATGATGTTGAGCATCTTTCCATGTGCTCCGTCTCTTTTTTTCGAGTCATTTTTATCTGTGAACTTGCCATACATAGCTCCTCTCTTACACCTAGGACTTTTGAGGCTTGAGTCTGTCTGTAACACGGGGTATTACTAGACTTTCCTTACAGAGTTGCTGTGAGAATTACATGAAATGATATGTGAGAAGCATTGGCCCACGTAGTTCTTGTACATAATATTCATTTATTTACTCATTCAGTGTTTTATGGGAACTTCTTATATACTCAGCAACAAAGACAATGGGACATGTTTCAAGTACCTCAAATTCACTGTATCTCAAACCCAACACATCACCAGACTCTGGAGCCCACTCGACACTCTCCCTATGTTCATGATCTCATATTATGGAGCTGACCTCCTTTGATCCTTCCCCCTCACTCACCTGCCACTTCTAATCACCCAATAAGCCCCTCTGTTTTCAGCACCTCTGGCCATAGTCCCTCTCCACCCGGCTCCCCACCTGGCTTTCACAGCTCCTGCGTACTCGGTCATCAGGCTTGTTGTAGTTGGCCCACTGTAAGGTGATTTTCTGTTTTAGTACTCCATGTCCTCTGCATTCTGTGGATTCCCTTGAGAGCCAGGAGCGAATTTTACTCATTCTTTTATCCTCAGCACTCAGCAGCATGCCTCTCACATTGTGGTACTCAAGAACTGTTTGTTGAGATAATGAATGAGTGAAATACTCCCCGAAAATGCTGTGCTGTATGAGACCTTCATATTTTTTGTATGTGCCTTTGCTTCAGATTAGATTGCTTTTTCTTCTTCAACAAATGTTTTTTTTTTTTTTCTAAATACTGGGTGCTCACATCTCAGGAAGTGTGGCAACAGCTAAAGGATTGCCCATTCAGATTTCCCCTGCCCCCAGGCTGATTCTGGAAACATTGCAGGGGTTTCTGAGGTGAAGCTGCACCATGAGCCTCACCCACTCTCGAGTCTGCCAGTGTAATTGCAGTGGCCGCAGTGCTGAGGCGGAGCGCTGGGAATGGGCAGCAACACGCCACGCTAGGGGCAGGGACGTGTCTGAGTCAGAAGGAAGAAACAAACAAGCTTTTCTTAAGATACAGCTTCATTTTCACAAAATGAGCCTTCCCAGCAATTTTTAACATAGAACTGTCTCCTCCAAATTAAACAAAATGATGTTGGAAAGTCATCAGTCAGAGGTCAGGGGTCCCCGTCTCAGCACTGAAGGCCCCAATCTAATTTCAAATTGAAATTCGACCGGGAGGAGAGATCCCCATTCCAACTGTCACTTTTAATTTTCCAGATATGATTTTATTGGTTACTTTTCATTCTCGGGAATATTAAACAACCAATATTTATGGCAAACGCCAGACATGTCTAGTACTTCTGAAATCCCGAGAAGCCTCGATTGGGTGTAGGGGTGGCCGGTTTCTCTCATGTCATTATGTGGGATTAAATAGTGACATTTTTTTTCTTATTTCTAGGAGTGGGAACATTGCAATAAAAGGTGTTAGCTATTAAACTTATAGGAACCATAGGGCTAGCTAAGATGGATTGCTCCTTGCACACAGAGCGTTGTAATTATCACTTGCTGGAAATAACCATTCCTGAAGAACAGTAAAGTGTTTATGGTGGCAAACGAGCAAAAGGAAATTTTACAAAAACAAAAACCAGAATTTTTTACATGGCTACTGACCTCTCTTCCTCTCTTTGCCAAAGTCTAATCTATCTGTTTGTCTACTTAAGTTACCAAGGAGTTTGACTTTGATGCTGAGAAAGGCAGCATGGGTGGGTAGAAAGGACATTCGGATGAGGGAGGAC